ATTTTAATTTTTCAAAACCATTTTATTGGGGGCTCATACAACTTTTATCACAATCCATCCATCCATCCATTGTGTCAAGCACATTTGTACATTTGTTGCCATCATCATTCTCAAAACATTTGCTTTCTACTTGAACCCTTGATATCAGTTCCTCATTCCCCCCCACCTTAAGAACCATTGATAATTTATAAATTATTATTGTTTTGTCATGTCTTACACTGTCCGACATCTCCCTTCACTCACTTTTCTGTTGTCCATACCCCAGGGAGGGGTTACATGTAGATCCTTGTGATCGGTTCCCCCTTTCGACCCCACCTTCCCTCCACCCTCCCGGTATTGCAACTCTCACCACTGGTCCTGAGGGGTTCATTTGTCCTGGATTCCCTGTGTTTCTAGTTCCTATCTATACCAGTGTACATCCTCTGGTCTAGCCAGATTTGTAAGGTAGAAATGGGATTATGATAGTGAGAGGTGGGGATAGCATTTAAGAACTAGAGGAAAATAAGCAAATGTGGTGAAGAAAGCTTATGGTGCCCGGCTATCAAAAGATACAGTGTCTGGGAACCGATTACAATAACCTACGTATAGCCTCCTCCCTGGGGGATGGACAGCAGAGAAGAGGGCGGGGGGAGACATCGGACAGTGTATGACAAAACAATAAAAATTTATGAATTATGAAGGGTTCATGAGGGAGGGGGGCTGGGGAAGGATGGGGAAAATGAGCAGCCGATATTAAGGGCTAAAGTAGAAGGCAAATGTTTGGAGAATGATGAGGGTAACGAATGTACAAATGTGTTTTACACAATTGATGTATGTATGAATTGTGATAAGAGTTGTTTATGAGTCCCCAATAAAATGATTAAAAAGAAAGAAGAACTAGAGGAAAGTTGTATGTTTCTTCATTGCTACACTGCACCCTGCCTGGCTCTTCTCCTCCCCGCGACCCCTTCTGTAAGGGGATGTCCAGTTGCCTACAGATGGGCTTTGGGGATATGATTTTTTGTTCTTTGATGCCTGATACCTGATCCCAACTAAACAGATCTTTAGGGTCTTATTCTCTGGTATTTATTTTTCAGATTTGCTTTTAAATTAACTGGTCAGTGAATGTCAGGATGTTCTGAATCTTCTTTACCCTTTTATTTTTACATTAGGTTTGTTGCTGCAAGAAATTTGCCGACAAGAAAGATTGTTATATCTGTATTAACTGCCAAAAAATGGTTTGGCGCGGGGTGGTGGGGAGCTGGTCTTTTCGTTTTGACTTTTTAAAAGTGTGGTACATGGAAAAAAGGCAAACATTACAAACACCTGGTAACTGCCACTGAGCTCAATTAATAGAACATTAGCCAGTCCCCAAGAAGCTGCCCTTTCTTCCTCCATTATTGTCTGCTCCCTGGAGTAACCTAAGTCCTAGTTTCTAAGACCATTGCATTAGTTATGTTTATTTTTAACTTTAAAAAAGAGAATCATATACTACAAGTTCTCTTCAAAATGTTAGTGGGAGGAACTTTCATTATCTTTCAATTCCCTTTTTCCAGTTTTGAAACCCTCTCAGTGGTATTCTTTTGTGTCTTCAGGCGCCATTGTTTGTTAAATTCAGTTATGATATACGTAGCTGTCGTGGTGGTGGAGGTGGGATCAGTTCCAGCTCACAGTGTCCTGTGTACGACAGAGTGGGACACAGCCTGGTCCTGCACCAGGCTCACAATCATTCTTACCTGTGCTCGAGGCCTTTGTTGCAGCCACCAAGCCCATCTGATAGCGCTTTGAGGGTCTTCATTTTTGGTTTGTTCATTGTCATTGTTATATAGTTAAAGTATGGCTATACCATAATTTATCCCTAAGATGTTGATGGACATTGCATTATTTCCAGTTCTTGAACATTTTTGAACAGAGTTTGATGTGCATGTTTCTGATGGTTATACACCTAGGAGTGGAATGCCTGAGTCAAACTTTGTGTGTATTTAACCTTAGTAGATGATACTGGCAAGTGGTTTTACAAAGTGCACCAGTTTATACTCCTCTTGGCAATATAAGAGGAGAATTTCTATGGATCCACAAGCGAGCCACATTTTCGTTTTTCTGTTATGTTAATTACAGCCATTTTGGCAGATATGTAATGATTTTTAATTTCAGCTTAGTTTCTATTTCTCTGATGATCTCTGAGGTTATTTAGCATTTTTCTGATGTGTATTGGTCATTTGGATATCATTGTGTATCTGTGTATGTATTTTTCCTGCTCAAGTTTTAGTGCCATTTTTCTCTTGGAGTGTCTATTTTAGTTATTTTTATCTGTTTTCCTTATTAATTTGTTAGGAGGTCTTTATACAGTTTTGTTGAAACCTTTTAGTTGTCTTCCCAATAGCTTACATTTTCACAATCCTGTGTCTTTTGATAATTAAACATTTCTTTGTGCTTTACGAGAAGTTGTACATAACAAATGAGTTTTCCAATCAGTAACTCACACACAGATTGTTTCATAACCTCGGTTACAATCTCTGCCATGTGTCAGTTCTCTCCGCATTTCCTCCCTGGGTGCCCTGTTTCCATCCGTGCAGTTTCCGCCCCTCCTGCCTTCTCATCTTTGGGTTGGGGGCAGAGGTTGCCCTTGTGGTCTCATAGAGTTGATTGTTCTAGGGACATCTTTTCCATGGGTGTTAGTATTTATTTTTTAGTCTATGATATTTGACTGAAAAGGGGGTATGTTATGTTTTCACTTGACTCTCGGAATGATTTTTATTAAATTTTAAAATTTCAATGATCTATTGGTATTTAGTGAAGGTGCTATTCAGGTTCCATATATTAAAATATCTTCCTTGTTCTTCATGTTAGTGCTTTCTAATTTTATACTGTTGTGATCACCAAAAATGCTTTCTATTATTTCACTGTTGAATATGTTAAGGCAAGCTTTGTGGGCTAAAAGACAGCCTGTTTTGGAGACTGATCTAGGTATATTAGAAAGTACTATATTTTGTACTGCAGCTGAAAGGAGTGTTTTCGGTATGTCTTAACAGGCCGATTGTCATTTAGATCGTCTCTGTCTTTGAGTTTCTTTTCAGTTGTTTCTCCATCATCAAAAATGGTGTTTTAAAATCTCTTACTGTTTCTCTTTTCAAGCTGTTGGAATTTGTTTTATTTTGGAGCTGATACTGGATGCATAAATATTTATTATGGTTATGCCTTCTTGGCAAATTGTTTCTATAATCATTTTCTATAATGTCCTCCTTTCTCTTTTGTGGTAAATTTGTTTAAGTATCTCTTTTATTGCAGATTGATATTATCACTCCTCCTCTGTTTTGACTACTTTTTGCTTGATTTTTTCTGTCCTTTGATTTTTAATTTACTTATGTCCTTGTGTCTAAGGTGTGTCTTTTATAGGCAACATATTGATGGGTGATATTTTTTAAATCCATTGTGCCACACTCTTTTACTCTAGACTGGTGCATTTAAAGCTGTTTACATTTAGTGTGAGTATTGATAGTTATGAGTTTACTGCTGTCATCTTGCTATGCCTTAAAAAATTTTTTTATAGTGTTGACGATATCTTTAGTTCTCCTTAATTTCCTATGCAGAGTTCTTTTTGTTTGTGGTTTTTTTTTCCAATTCCCTTGATTTTGTGTTGACAAAGTTTTGTGGGCCCCCCCCCCCTATATTCTTTTGTTAAGGACTCTACTCCACTGCCCTCGAGTTGATTCCGGCTTACAGGGTCCAGACTATTACATCTTTAAAGGAGCAGGCAGCCTCAACTTTCTCTAGTGGAGTAGCTGGTTGGGTAGGTTTGAACTGTCAGCCTTGTGGTTAGCAGCCCAGCATTTAACTCGGGGCTATCAGGGCTCCTATTTTGCTAATTTTCTTTGTCCTTACTGTGAAATTTACTTTCACCTTCTGAAGTTCAAAACAGTCTTTTATTTCTCTTATATTGCCTTGCTATCCCCTCCATGTGGAAGTTCCTTAGTTACACCATTTGGGTCATTTGCCCCTCTCTCCTCCATCCCCCATTTTGCTTTCATGGGAGAAAGATGAGGCTTTCTACCACTCATCTAAGGAGTTACAATCGTAGAAACTCACCTGGGTGTTCCACCCTGCACTATAGGGGAGTCAGAATTGACTACACAGTTGTCATCATTTGCAGATTGACATCTCTGGTTCCCTGTTTTCAGGCTTGTAGCTTTACTTCATGTTTGAGAATTCTTGATCTGAGTTGTTAGCTGGCTGCTGCTGTCATGTGTCTTAATATCAGGTGGTTTTCTGATGCTGTTGGTTTTGCCTGAAATACTCCTTTTAATGCTTCTTGTAAGGTTGGTCTGGTTTTTACAAATTTTCTTCATTTTTGTATATTTGACATCATACTTGAGACAGTTCTGTTGGCTATCTATTTCTTGATTAACAGCTTTTTCTTTAGTGGGTTTTTCTAGGTCTTCCCTAGGCTGCCTTGCCTGCATGGTTTTCGCTGAGGAGCAGAGCTGTCTCATTGGTTTCCCTTTGTAGATAACACTGCTTTGTCTTCAAGCTTTCTCTCAGGGGTCTTGGCTTGTTTTCAGTTTTAGAAAGTTTGGTTATACACCTTGGCAAATTTCTTACAGAATTTCTTGTATGGGGTTTATTGGGCTTCTCTGATGAATATGGTCCCATCCTTTTGATAGTAGAGAAGCTTCAGGAAAGTATATCAAAAGTTATCTGTGCTTTTTTTTTTTCGGTCCCCTCCTGTTCTAGAATTCTGATTATGTATAAATTATTCCTCTTGGTAATGCTCCACATAACTCTTAGGTTTTCTTAATTTTTCTCCTTTTTCCCTGATAAAGTCCCAAATTAGTGTCAAGAGATTTGTCCTTTGTTTCACTGATTCTGTCTTCCATTGCTTCAATTGTACTCTTCTATTCTTCCATTGACTTACCTATTTCTGAAATATTATTGACAATATTTTAGATTACACGTTACTGTTATTCTCTTGACTTCTAGTTGCTTATTAGCCTTGCAATTATATTCTTGTATTTTCCTGAATTCTTCAAGTGTTCTGTGTTTTTCTTGACTTTTCCCTGTGTTTTCCTTGATCTCTGTCTCTTAGAGAGATACACATATATTTTGAATTCCTATCAGGTAGTTCTATTATTATTTCTTCCTCACGATATTTTCTGGCCTCTTATTTCGGTCACTTGCTTGAGCGATCTTGTCCTGCTTCTTTAGATTATTCGGTACTATGTTGTTTCTGATCGCAGTGAGTTGGGAGGGTTTGGAGTTGTTTCTAACACTAGGTATTATCCTATTTATTGGCTCAGTATATGTTTATTCTATTTGTCTTGAATTTTTGTTTTATTTTGCTATATCTGGGTGTGTGAGGCATGTGTGTTACCCCAGTTGCTGGTCTGGCAGCACTACAGGGCTCACTCTACCTGTCTCTGGGTTGGTTGGTGGGCAGTGGCTGACAGTTTGAGTGCTGTTTTCGGTTCAGTGGTTGTGTAGAGACTGAGGGTAGACTGGGTGGGTCTAGATTAATCTGCCATTGATCCAGTGGCCCAGGAGTAGATGATGTCACTTCCTGCATGGGTGAGTGGTGGGTTAACATGTGAACTGGAACATGAGTGCAGGCTCTTCTGCTTGGTAGATGGGTGGGTAGGGTGGATGGCAGATCAGAGCGTGGAGGTGGCACAGGAGCATGCTCTCTGCCTCCCTTGGGGCGAGGGGAATTGTCAGTTTGGGGAATGAGTGGGGCAAGTGAGTGCATAGCATCCTGGATGTCAGGACTTGCCAGAGCTAGGTGTGTAAGGGTACAAGAGCAAGCAGGAGAGCAGAGCATGTGGGCGTCCTGGGTCACTGGTAGGGAAGCATGCTTATCAGGACTTGTGTCCTGCCCTCTGTCTCCTCTCCCCTCCTTTTCAGTCTCCCTTCCGTACCACCCATGTCCGTAAGGGATACTGAAGTGAACAAAGCCAATTTCAACTTACAGTATCGAGAGAGGAATAGCAAGAAATAAGAAAGGAGAAAAAAAGCCTAATTATAAATTGGAAATGTTTCAGAACTGTCTGCCCTGATTTAAATTCTCCAGGTGCCTCCTGATATATTCACCTGATCTCATTGCTAATGGGGTGGTTTGAGACCCTTGGAGGCAAACTACTTATTTTTAGGAGTCTTTGTCTATTTCCCTTGCCTGTTCTTTTTCAGTTATAACTCCTATTTCTCCTTGCTTCTAGCCCTTAGTAACTACTAATCCACTTTCGGCTTCATGCATTTGCCTTTTCGTTTGTTGGTAGGTACCCTTGAGGCAGTTCCAACTCAGCACCACCTTTATACAATAGAATGAAACACCGCCTGGTCCCGCTCCAGCCTCTCACGCTTTCCTGTGTCGGAGTCTGTTGTTGCAGCCGCTGTGTCCATCCATTTCATTGAGGGTCTTCCTCTTTCCCTTGACTCCCCTGGATCATTGGTTTGGTGGGTTATGACCCTAACTTTTGCTACCTTGTCCTGGAGCTCTCAAACACCCCATCTCATCTGGAACTCACATACCCTCCTCGGAGAGCGCTGCTCAGATTCTGCTCTCACCTCGCCCTTGCCCCTGGGCCTGGCCTCTGCAGTTCTTCAGTAGACATCTTTGCGTTCTATCCACCTTTTGTAATTCTCTGTGACATTTGTTCACATTTGGAGCCTCTCTGTCAAAGCATAATTATAGTGTCTTTTTAAAAATGTGTAAACAAAATTATTTTAATTTATTTTATAATTCTTGTGCTAGGCTTGTTAATGTTCAAATAACTACTCTCAAGAAACATGAAGACAAATTCAAAGACGTTGAGAATGCAATGATGTTAATCATGTTTGTTGCTTGTAAGTGAACTGTCATAGAAGACTGTAGTTAGTTAGACTGTTGGAAATAGTTCATTTATCTTAAATGCTGTATTATTGTTGTGTCTGGGGGAATTTTTGGATTTTTTTTTTTTTTTCAGAAATAATATTTTTTTCACGGGTTTATCTCTGTCTCAAACTCAAAACTTACTGCGATTGAGTCGAGCTGACTCATGCTGCCCCTGTGGGTGTCTGAGACTCACTCTATGTGAGTAGAAGCTCCTTTTTTCTCCTGCAGACCAGCTGCCCTGGGACCTGCTGACCTTGTAGCTTTTGGTGCCCCCAGACCCCTGACGGCATGCGGGGCTGAGCTTGGTGGTGTCAAACCCACCAGCTGCTCTGCAGGAGAAAGATGATGCCTGTAAATCGTATAAAGGTTTACAATCTTGGAAATCCTATGAGTCAGAACTGACTCTACGGCAGTACGTTTAGACACCCACATAAGAAATCCTATTAGCGTAATAGTTCAGTGGTTCAAAGGTCAGTGGTTCAAACACACCAGCTAACCCCGAGTGCAGGCGAAGATGTGGCAGTCTGTTTCCATAAAGCCTAAAGCCTTGGAAACCTTTGAGGCAGTTCTCTCTGTTGTGTAGAGTTCTCTGTGAGAAAATGAGTTGGTTTAGAGATCTATATAATGCCCCTTGTTCATATAAGTGGCAGTCAGTACCTCAAGGGACTTTGGGTACTGCCTTATGTTATTAGAAAGGCCAAAGCCTGTACACAGCACATGTGCATATGTCTTTCAAGAATATGAATGTATAAGGGATGACCTAATAAAACACGATCAATTCTGCACACTAAAATATTTGGAAGAAGAAAGGGTTTGTTTCAGAACAACCCGTTTTCTAACTGTGGATTTTCTGAGTCTTAATTAAAAAAAAATTTTTTTTTTTTTAAAGATTTCTGCACTGGTGCTAAGAGCCCAAGCATCTGAGATATTACTTGAAGAATTACAACAAAGGTTTTCCCAGGCTAAGAGGGATGTTCAGGAACAGATGGTAAGTTAAAATTTTGAATAAACATCCGTTGTATTATATATGTGTTCCTTTTTGTTCTCTTTTAACGTCATCTTTGCTGTGTCTTACCCACCTCTCCAAACTGGATAGTGTTCTCCTCTCCAGTGTCTATGGAGCATTAGGTACTGGACAAAATATTGGAAAGATGGAATTTTTTTTTTAATCATTTTATTGGGGGCTCATACAACTCTTACACAGTCCATACATCAATTGAATCAGGCATGTTTGTACATATGTTGCCCTCATTCTCTTCTCGACATTTACTTTCTATTGAGTCCTTGGTACCAGCCCCCCCCTCCCCACCCCCACACACACTCATAACCCCTGATAGATAGTACATTGTTCTTATTTTCGTCTCTCACACTGACCGCTGTCTCCCTTCCCCCATGTTTTCTGTTGTTCTTCTCCCTGTAGAGGGGTGTATGGTTATGGTGATCATTGTGATCGGTTCCGTTTTTCCCTTAGCCCTACACTTCTGGCATCACCATTCCCACTCTTGGATTCCGTGTGTCGTGAGCTCCCATCCCTTTCTATACCTGTGTACATGTTCGGTTTAGTCTGAATGGAGAGGCAGCACTGGGGCATGGTAGTGGGGATGAGGAAGCGTCAAGGAACCAGAGGAATATAGTGTGTTCATGGATGCTTTACTGCGCCCTGGTGACTCATCGCTTCCCTGTGGCCCCTCTGTGGGGAGATTGTTCCACTTTCTACAGATGGGCTTTGGATCTCTGCTCCAGCCCCCTTCGTTCTCAACAATATGTTTTTGTTATGTGTCTGCTGATGCCTGTTTCCCGGTCCCTATGACTGCTCATGGTCGCACCGGTGGTGTGCTTCTTCCATGTGGACGTGTTGCGTCACTGCTGAATGGCAGCTTGTGTAACTTCAAGCCTTTAAGACCCCAGATGCTTTATCTTTTAGTAGCCAGACACCATCTACCCTCCTCACATTTGCTTATGCACCTGTTTTGTTTTCAGTGATTGTGTTGGAAGGATGAATACCTCAGACTGCCGATTGAGGGAGGGTATGAGCAGAGGTCCAAAGTTCATCCCCTATCTCAGTGTATTAACATCATTCTTCTTTTAAATTTACCTCTGACCCCACCCCTCCAAACAAAACAAAACAAAAACTCACCTTTTATTTGGCAAACCTAAACACAATGAACTCTGGGACATTTTAATTTCCAGTTTCGAATACAAGCTAATTATCATTAGCAGTTATTATGATTTTCCTGGGGATAGATGGTTTACTGAGATAACCTCACTAACTTCACCAAAGGCTAGGGAGAATCATGCACTAGTGCTGCTGTGGTGTTGGGGAACTTCTAGCAGGCCATGAGTTTTTAGAGGGATGGGGGAAGAGAGTTCTGCAGAGAGGCATTGCTGGCTGGAGCCTCTGCAGACTAGCCCCCCCACCCCTTCCCAGATTTGGACTTCCACGACCCTGTTTGGCTCCATTTGATGGTATCGAGAGGCCCTTTTCTGTCTCAGGGGTGGTTCATTTGAAGCCTAGGAGTATGGTAAAACTGACCAGCCTCCACATTAGGGTGCCTTGTTTGCATTGTCCTACCAACACAGGGATGCTGGACACCTTATTGACAGAATAGGTAAACTGTCCAGTTCCCCTGATGGGCTACAAGTACCTCACATTTACATAATCATGCCCAATCATTTGGTGGGAGTTAAAAAGACCGTATGGGTCAGCCATATACATTAATGTATCCACAACCCTTTTAACTAAATCATGAAAAGTTCTTAAGCTGAGAAAAAAGTGAAACTCAATTTCTTATGACCCTTGGAAATATTTGACTGTGGTAGTTATTGGGATATTGAAACCAGTCATCAAGGCAAGTCCAATTTAGGATGATGAACGTTATTGAGAATCCAGTTCCATTTTCTTGTGGAATGCTGCCTTAGCTGACTAGTGCTGTTGTAGAGAATCATCACTTTTGTGTTCTGGCCTATGGCTTCTTTGGCCTTCAGCATGTAGCTCAGCAACTCACTCCCTCTGTGAGATTTCTTCATTCGTTTGACCACCTCTCTCTCCTAGTCTCTTTCCTTCAAATTAGATGCCCCTCTGTCTGACTTGATCCTTGTCACAGCACCGCAGCTCTATAAGATATTTCGTGGTTTGCTTTTCTCCTCTTCTGGACCATGGGCATCTCCAGGACAAGAGCTCAGTTTTGGAATGCATGTTTCCTCAGGGCCAGTGAATTGCCTCACATGGAGCGGGAGTTATTTAATACAAGTTGTGTGCATTTATCTGTACTTGTATTGAAGATTACTTGCTATTAGAAAATAGCCAAAATGAAATAATTTTCCAGAACTGTATTTTGTACTTAAATTAGCTGGAATCTAGTCTATATTGATACAAATGAAAACATCAGCAAGCAGTAGCATGTCCCGTTGTAGAGTGGACTTCTCAAGTGTCGAATCTTTCATTTCCTGATGTCTTTTCATGTTTGGGGCTCTTGGGCCATTCACAGTGATCCTAAGCTTGAGCATACGTAGATGTAACAGGAGAGGAAGGTCCCAATTCCTCCTTCTCCTCAGCTCCTATTGAATGCATGCCATGAGGAAATAGAAGTTGCCTGAAGTACATACTCTGTGTTTTTAAAAGTTCGAGGGACAATGGAATGAAAAAGCAATGCATTTTTCCACAAACTTTTTGAAGCCCCTTCCTATAGGTCCCAGTTGTATAAGCTGTTTCTACTGAGACAGAGGTCCTGGTCCTTCTGTCGTCCAGGGACCTGGAGGGAAGAGATTTCTCTTTCAAGCCGAGGAAACTGAGACGACACTGGTTTCATTGCATGTCCTCTTGTTGGACATAGGCACAAGCTGCAAGCCCAGTTCTCCGAGCTGCTTTTTCTCATTTTGTAGAGTGCTGATCAGTGTGCACTTTGTTCTCTCGGCAGCTATCTGCACCTTTCTGCTGTGATTTGGGCTCTGTGTCTATTTCAGGCAGTGCTGATGCAGTCTCGGGAACAGGTTTCAGAAGAGCTGGTGAGGTTACAGAAAGACAACGACAGTCTCCAGGGGAAGCACAGCTTGCACGTGTCATTACAGCAAGCAGAAGACTTCATTCTTCCAGAGGCGACAGAGGTAACCCATCTTTCATGTTTCACATGATCCCCAGACGTGAACAAGTGCACTTCTGAAATGGCTGGACCTGAACTCCCCTGGGCGTAGACTGAGAATGTGTCAGAAATTCCGTGTGTGCTGGGATCACTCGGCTGGCTTCTTGGGGTGTGTGTTTCTGGAGTCCAGCGCTTAACGGCCATACACACCCGTAGTCTTTCCCTCCCCTGAGAACTTTGATGACACTTTAAGCACTTTCATGCTTTTTTGTGCTAGGGTGAATCTCACCTGCAAAACTGGAAGTTTCTCTGAGATGTTTATAATTGTTTGACCTTTGTGCCCATACATTTTTAAACCAGTCATCATGTGGTGTGTGTGTGTGTGTTCTCTTAAATTAAACCCAAGGAAACACTAGTGTGTGTGTGTGTGTGTGTGTGTGTGTGTATGTTCTCTTAAATTAAACCCAAGGAAACACTATAAATAGTATAGGCAAAGATTTATTTATTTATTTAAAAAAATCATTTTATAGGGGGTTCATACAGCTCTTATCACAATCCATACATACATCAATTGTATAAAGCACATTTGTACATTCGTTACTCATCAAGAATTTTGTTTTAAAACAATATGAAAATGTTATTTGTAAGTTTTATTGTTCCCTTGAAAGCCATTTTAACGATAAAAGTTTTAAGTAGACATTATAGAAGTTTATAATGTAATAGAATGTTTTCTGTTCTCTTATCCTGCAGAGTCAGCCTCCTCAATTTGAGCCTTGTTCTTTTCTCCGCATACACATACTGCTACTGCTATTACTTATGTTGCTTTACGAAGACTTGGTTGCCGCCATAAGCTCCTTGCTCTCCCCCTCACTCCCCTAACTTAGGGCCTTGGCTTGGTTACTGGCACTTACTAGAAGAACTCTTTTTCCTCAGAGAAGAGTAAGCACTGGTTCCTGTCTACTTTTTCTATTAGCTTAAAAACCCCCAGACTGCTAGCTAGCTTCTAGCTCTGTTGTCAGGAAAGAGTTCTCTCTTCCATGTTTTCCAGATTTTTCTTCTTCTTAGATTTATAAAACATTTCTAAAACTCCCAAGAATCATTGAGCAAAATAACCAATCTAGTCTCTAAGCCTTGATTCTGAACAAATCTGGTGTTTGTTGTATTTTTCTTTTTAAACTGTTATTTTTTTTCTGTTCTTAAATTTATATATATTACTTAATAATCCCAGTTTTTCAAATTTGAAGGGTTTTGAAAAAAACAAAATAGAACTAAAACTTGATCAGGGACTAGCATAAGATTTAAACGTAATTTTAGAAAAACAGCTCATCATCTTAGAAAGCCGTCCTTTACCACACTTTACTCTGGACCTAACAGTACCATGTTTGTGATAAGTGATTTACTATGTATTTGAATGAATTATTAGGTAAACAAAATATTGCTATCCTCTTAGAAGTTCATACCTGCCTCAAGTCTCAATATTGCTGGTCTTCATTCTTAAAAGCCCATTAAACTCATTGCTGTCAAGTCCATTCTTAGCGGCCTTATAGGATAGAGTAGAACTGCGCCATAGGGTTTCCAAGGCTGTAAATGTTTACAGAAGCAGACTGCCAGGGCAGCTGAACGCTTTGACCTATCGGTTAACATCACTAGGACTCCACACCTACACCCAATCTATTCATATAGCAGAAGCTTCCAAACTGTTCTTAGTGAATCCCACAGTGTAAGATACGTAACATTTTATGGACAGTGGAGAAGTGGGTGAAGGGAGATGTCGGATGGTGTAAGATATGACAAAATAATTTATAAAATATCAAGGGGTCCAGGTCTATCTAAATAAGATAGGCTGGATGAACAATCTGGAGGAGAAAATGCGACTGACAGTTCCAGGGGGACATGGGAGAGGGGGAGGTGGGGGGAAAGGTAGTGGTGTTAACAAACCCAGGGACAAGGTACCAACAAGTGATCCAAATTGGTGGTAAGGAAGGTGTGGGAGGCCTGGTAGGGCATGATCAAGGGTAATGTAACCAAGAGGGATTGCTGAAACCCAGGTGGGGACTGAGCATGATGGTGGGACAGGAGGAAAGTCAAAGGAAATAGAGGAAAGAGCTGGGAGGCAAAGGGCATTTATAGAGGTCTAGATAAAGGCATGTACATATGCAAATATATTTATATGAGGATGTGGAAATAGATCTATGTGCATATATATATTTAGTATTAAGGTAGCAGGAGGACATTGGGCCTCCACTCAAGTACTCCCTCAAAGCAAGAATGCTTGTTCTATTAAGGTGGCATTCTGTGATGCTCACCTTCCTGACACAACCGCTGAAGACAAAGCGGGTGAATAAGCAAATGTGGTGAAGAAAGCTGATGGTGATGACTATTAAAAGAT